GAAAATGTCGGGGGACTCCGGCAAGCTACGTGCCGTCCTATTACTTACCCAAGCTCACTTATTTGAGCATTTGCGCCAAATATCCCCGCACTGGCATAAAGGGGAGTACCGCCAGATCTTTGTAGGAGCACACTTTTTCGACACACTCCACAAAAATATGACGGACTCGCAGAGGACATTATGTTTGTTCATTTGTGGCAATATGAGCTGTGAACGAGTACATGATTTGGCGTATTTGTGGGTAAAATAATGCCCTTCGACATGATAAGGGACCCACATAAATGAGTCGCTAAAATTTGATCCAGCGTTTTGTGCACCTTCCCCATAATATCCACTTTGCCCAAAATGCGCTTCTTAGATGTCCGGATGGTTGAATCGCAATAGTGCCCTTTTCACGTATCCAGGCATTGACAGGTCCACTGTTCCGTTCTGGTAGTCCCACTTCATCGTGATGCCACAGTAGAGCTCTCCATCCCAGTCTTTCGTGATTTTGTACTTGGCTGCTAATGTATCTATTAGATGCTGGGCGTTCTCTTTGCCCACGTACTTAACTCCGAAGTCGTCAACGACTAACGTGAAGGTTGTCGGCCGCGTTTTGTGGGTGAAGAGTCCGTGAACGTGCTTTGACTGTATGTACTGGTGTTGTTCCAGGTGTTCCACTAGTGCGTCATTGGCGATTCGGCCTGCCTGTGGCAATCCATACATTCCTCGTATGATCTCCACCATCACGTACCCATTGAGTACTAGGTCGTGCAATTGGTACTGGTCCATGATTTCGTCGGGTATGGTGTCCACTGGTATCCTCATGTACTCTGGGCGTTCCATGGGAGTCATGAGGTAGAAATCCTTGATGTCGATTGTCATGAATTTCGCGTTGGGAGTGGAGATCACGCTGTTGAGGTTCATCTTGACGGTGGTGAGCGATGCTGTCTTTGTGCTGACTTCAAATGGGTATTCGATCTTGTCTCCGCCCACTGTGAATCTGACACGTCTCTTCTCCACTTTCTGTGGTCGATCATCGCAGACGACTCACAAGTAGGTTGCTTTGCGACCTGCTGGTACCTCGGTATGTTTGATGAAGCGGATCGTGTTGGTTCCGGCGAGTCCAGTAGAGTCCCTGCCTTGGGCTAGGCGTCCGATTTCGTTGCAACAGGCATTGATCCAGTAATGTCCGTCTGTGGATTGTTTCAGTACTCTGTAGTCGGATAAGATGCCGGTGTCGGGGTTTAAAGCTTTGTTGGCGACTTGTGGGAGCTCCTGTGGTGCGCATTGTTGTGGTTGTTGACGTGGTTGGTCATTCGCTGTTGTCTTTGGTTTGCGTTGTCGATGCGAGGAGGTTGTTGTGGAGTACGTGTCTGGGGTGTCTGGCACCCTCAGATTTCGGCCATCGCTCGGTTGTGCTAGTGGTTTGTGCCCTTGCACGGTTGGTTCCTGCTTTTTTGTTAGGCTTAGGCGTCAGTCGAAGATCTGTGCTAATTCTAGTAGCGTTCCAGCTTCACTCTCGGTGATTGTGCTTGATGCTGGGTTCGTGCTTGGTTGGTTGAGCGCCGTGGCGATGTCCTTGAGGCCTCCGATTGCCATGTCTAATGGTGTTGGCAGTGGCATAAGTAGGTGTTCTGGGAACCATGCTAGAGTGTCTGCTTTCCGTTCGCGTTGTGTATCCCATATCCAAGTTCGGAAGCATCGATATGACTCCATCTCTGGTCCAATGTACCAGCCATCTTTCCCTTTTGGGGCCCAAGTGGCTCGCTCATGGGGCTTCTCGTGGACTACCACGTGTATTCCTGGTGGTGCTATGGGTGTTGCCATGAAGTCAAACTGTTCAAATACTTGTGCATGGGCAGATAATGCTGGATTCATGCGTGAGCCTCGGAGCAAGTTGAGTGTGATGGTGCATTGTGGGATTAACTTGTCCCACAAGTGTAGAGGGAAGTTGCTGTCCGTGGTGCAGAGTCCTGCTATCAAGTGGTTCTTGTATGTTTGGATGGCTCTTTCAGCTGCATTGCGTCGGTGTATTCCCGCTGGAGTTACTTGTAATTGGACTCCCGCGGCATCAATGTGGTCTTTGAGTAAGTTCGAGCACTCGTTATCTAGCATGTGTAGTTTTGGTCGCAATCCGGCTCAAACTAGCTTGTTGTGGATTGTTGTCCAAGCTTTTACGTGAGATTTCGCTGTGCGATTGATCATTGGTTCGGCATGGATTGAGTTGCTATCGTAATGGTACAGGACAAAGAGGTAGTTGTTGCCAGTACTGGAAGGGATAAAGAATCTGCCGGTTTGGTCTGAAAACGTCTTGCCACTCGGCTGCATGACAGCTCCGTAGCACATGTGAGCTGTTGCATGCGATTCAATTTCCTCCTGCCGTGGGAATGTGTCTATGTCGTCGGTGTCTGGGAGAAGGGGAAGTGGTTCCGGTTCCTTTTTGGTGGATTTGATTCCTTGCCTTTGCTGGTTCATATGTCCTTTTGCTGTTGCGATTGAATTGGGGCTGTGCTTGTTGAATGCATCTAAGGTGAGCCCTGGCATATTGTTTATGTATCCCTTTTTGAGTGCCTCTTTCAATGTCGATGGAACTGGTGAGAAGAGAGCTGCGTGTGCAAATGCAACTAGGTCTGCAACTGTGGCTGACGGTGTTGTGGCCATATAATTGGCTTGTTGCTTAGCTGGGGTTGACTGTAAGTCTATTTCCCATAGGAGGTTGGTGTTAACGTTCCTGTTGCCTTGGAGGATTACGTCGCCCATGAATGTGATGAAGCTTCTTGTGCTCGAAATGTTGCCTCGCATCCTGCATCGCATAATTTGCCTATGGACAGGAGAGAGGTTGCCCCTAATGATGGGAATAGGTAAGCTTTGGTTGCCTCTTTCGGCAAGTTTGGTAGATCCAGTTGACAAGTGTGTGTCGATGTAATGACTGTATTGTCTGGTAGTGTTACCTGTATCGGTGTGTGATTCGGTTGGACGTCGGTGATACTCTCGTTGCTGATGGCTATAAAGTCTGTGGAGAGGAAGTGTCCGGTGCTGCCTGTATCTGCCACTACAGGTGTGCTTGTTTTTGTTTTCGTGTTTTCTAATGAGGATGGGGGACCATGCATGTTTCTTTCTTTTAACTTATCCATCTTTTTACTATGTTCTGTTACTGCTACTTGAGCTTTCTGTTTGTCGTTATTTTTGAATACATTCATTGCTGGCTCCCGCCCTGCTCAGCGGTTTGCTGGGGCTTGGTTCTCGTCATTGTTGTCACGGTTGTTTTGACGCTGAGGGCGTTTGTAGATAGGTTTTTCGCCAAACCTGCGTCTGATGATGCAGCATCCACCGAGCATGTTATCAGCTGTTGCATCGTTGCAATGGCCATGTGCTTGCTTGGTGCAGTTGCCGCTGGTGTGGTTGTTGTTTGGTCCCAAACCGTGAGACCAACAATAGTACATGGGGATGCCGTTGCCTCCAGTTACTGCTTTAGTCGCAGTTGGCCTTTTGGCGGCTTGGTCCGTCACTTTGTTCGCATATCCGACTTCCTTTGGAGTAAGGATTCTGCGTCTTTCCTTGTCTGCAGCCGTGAAGTCCGTTTCGAGGTTGGCCATGGTCTGTTCTGCTGTGGGTCGCTTCCTCCAATCACGGAGGGCAGCAGTGAAAACTCCACTTTGGGTTAAGTTCTCGATGATGGCGCTGACTGCTATTTTGTCTGAGATAGCGTCATGGTCGGCGGCAAATTTCTGGGCGTCCTTGACCTGATTGTAAAGGTCTTCGATTGGTTGGGAAGGACTCCAGGTGGCGTTCATGCGTTTTTCGTTGTCCTTGATGTCGTCGGCGTGTCGGCGTCCACTGTGCCGTATGCTGCATCTAAGTGGGCGAGGATTTCGCGGGTGGTGACTTGCGCATAGCCATACATCTCGTGTTTGAGTGTTTTGGTGAAGGTGTCAGGTACCGCTTCTAGCAACTGTTTCTTGAGTGCTGTTTCGGTTCCTCTGAAGACGAGAAATTGTTTTTCGTTTGCTGCAAACAGCCTGTTAGTTTCTGCAATTTGAGCGGCGGTTGGTGCTGCGCCGTGGACTGGTGCCTGTCCTGGGTGGGCTGGGTTGGCCCATGCTTGGGTGTTAGGCAATGCATTGTATTGGGCTGCTGTGAGTACCAATGCCAGGTGTCCGTAGTACCCTCCTCCAATGCCGGATGGGATCGTCATTGCATTGGCATTCAGCTCTTGGTGGATGATTTTGAGGCTGTTGTAGGTGGGCTTTTCCTCTGGTGAGATGGCGGTGAGTATTTCCTTGGCGAAGTGCTCGATTGCAACAAAGGAGGTTATGGTGTTGGTTGACGGCAGCTATAGCTTTGGCTTTTGCTGTTGCTCTTCACGTGATGTGTTGAGTTCGTCGTTCGATTCAGTTAGATTGTTAATAACTGTTGATCCAGGCAGGTAGAGCCTAGGGTAGAATTGTTAGTAAAGATTAGTTATTAACAATTATGAGCAAGTTCTAGCTAGTTGTCCCCATACTGGAGCACACAGGCCCAGCTGGGGAGTGCCCTGCTTTCCAACAGCTTCTAACGGTTTGTGGGTCCTGCTTGGAAGCAGGGTGACCTTTTGGCAGGCTTGCTGGCATCTTGGTTGTGATTATGGACTGATCTGGGACTTATGGACTTAAGGGTCCTTGTACCAGATCAACACATTCCCTTAAACATTCCCTTAAATCATTCCCTTAAATCCTCAACATTCCCTTAACATTCCCTTAAATCAACATTCCCTTAACAACATTCCCTTAAGGCTTCGAAACATTCCTCTAAGCCTTCATGTAAACCCCAAAGAACATTCCCTAAAAAAAAATGAACATTCCCTTAAATGAACATTCCCTTAAAACATTCCCTTAAATCCTCAATATTCCCTTAACATTCCCTTAAAGCTTCAACATTCCCTTAACATTCCCTTAACGAGAACCACGATTTGAGCAGTTTTTAAACCTGAGCAAAAACCGTCGGACGGTCCAGGGTACCCCAAATCACAAATCCCATACAGGCGAAAGCTTGACATCCTCGGTGCCCGGCTATGCTTGTGCGACAAAGAGAACCTCAACGCTCCTATTGTGATGTTAGAATGACGTCATTGCCGATGTGGCAATTCTTCTCCTTAAGTAAATTTGGATCCAATGAGTCAAATGGGTTTGGGTCGGCTGTTGGGCCTGCGCATACAGTTCCGATTTGCGTTGGAGCATACTCAACCCAAATCGCATTTGACGCATTTGACTCACTGGACTCAATGACACATGGTTGGCTGGCGATAATAGATTGCTTACGTCACATAGTTTGTGATTTGGGGTACCCGGGTATTGCATGCTC